TAACCAGAAGGTTCTGGTTTTCGGACCCCTGCGGTGGATGGGTTCTGCCAAAGGGTCGCAAAGTAGGACAAAACAGCTCTTCAGTACTCTCTGCCTGTTTTTAAGCTCAGTAATTCAGTAAATATGACCAAGAATATCAGCCACAATTAATTAAGAGACCAACACACACACACACACATACATAGCCTTGTCAACGCCAAAAACTTCTCTATGGCATTCACTTATTTTAAAATATATATGAAATATAAAGAACGGTGTACAAGGCTAACGGTGTATGTAGTGTACTCAATACTTATCAAAGTTAGTCCTCCAATGGTGTGTTCAATAGATAGTTGAACAGTTAAAAATAACAAACAAACTAACAAACAGACAGACAGATCAATGATCACAATCTACGATTAAATATATAGATTTTTAGTCAAGGTAAACACGCATATGTGAAACACTCTCACATTTCACTGCGCTGTATATGTATATGCACATTTTATTTATTACCACTACATTAAGTTAATTTCTAGAATGTTACTTTGATTGACTTTCTCATTGAGGAAGTTAAGACAAGCTGGTATTACTCAGTCAGTCCCTACTGCTACACAGTTTGTTAATTTTTGCAGCATTCTACCTATTCTTCTTGACTGCACCGATTGGGCTAATTTAGAAAGACGTCAGGAGTGTGATTATATTGTTATTATTCCCTTGGGTTCTGAGTGGAACAGAGGACTTCAACAGCTCCACATATCCACTTGGTTCTATTCTCTCCTGTCCTCTTCATCTGGATCCATCATTGACCATAATCTCTCATCCCTTCTTCATCACCACTAAATAATCTCCTACATTTGACCCTTGAACTCACATCCAACTCGTCGCTTCCCATTCGGGTTCCACTCGAGCGATTGTCTGCATTGAGCACGATGTCATTCGACCTACGGCTTCGTCAACGTATGCCCAATGCATCTCCATTTTCTCCTACATATTTCTTGAGCAATCGGTTCTTGGTTGGTTTGTCACCTCCCACAGTTTCTTGTTGATAATTCTCTCTCACCAGCCAGCAATTTGATCTTGAGTATAGAGTCAAGAAGGGGAGCAGCTGTTGATAAAGGTCTGTGACTGGCTGTTGGAAATCCTTTTCGTGACACGAACGCCAAGTTTCCTGACCCGTACAGAAGAAATGACTGACTGACTGAACATTCGTGTTGAAAATCCGAATCTTAGTTTTCATGCTGGGTAGGGCTGTTGATCTTCACACAGACTTACTTGAGAGTGATAAAAGCTTGTCTTGCTTTCCCGATCCTCGCTACAGAAACTACAGTACGAAGAATTTTTGTTATTTGTATAAATTAAGTGGATATATATTCAAATCTATGTAATTGTTTATATCATATGCCATTTATTCTCACACTTCTCTGTGTATGTTTGTATTGCAGGTGGGCGGTTTAAAGGCTGGTTGCTTTAAAATTGGAAATACAGGCGGGATGACAGATAATATACTTGCTTCAAGACTTTATCGTCCAGGAAGGTTAGTTCATCACATTTCTTTTCTCTGGTTTTTCTTCCTTATTTGATGACACAATGAATTTTATTATTTTTATTATTACTATTATTCATATTCGATAAAGGTGCTAAAAACTGAAAAAAGAAGCAAGACCAGACGAAAATCTCTGCAGAAGCATTGAAAATGGACCCAGAGACATCAGCGGACCTGACGACACCATTAATGAAGGAGGTGTGGAAAGAGTACACGGATTGGAAGACTACCTATTCTAACTGCTAAAGAAAGGCGCGGCATTATGCTCCTGTCTATCCTAAGGAAAATACTAAGCCGCGTCATCCTGGAGAGAATCAAACACGCCACCCTGGATGAAAAAATTTGACCGGAACAGGTTGGATTCAGGAGGAACAATTCATGTGTTGATCAAATCGCCACACTATGGATCATCATTGAACAGAGCTTGGAATGGCAGTCACCTCTCTATCGTAACTTCATCGACTTTGAAAACGCCTTCGACAGACAGCGTCGATCGATAGGGGATTTGGCAACTACTACGGGGTGCCACCAACAATTATACATCTCATCCAACAGTCGTGCGACAATGCTGCATGCCAAGTAATCCACAATGGGAAACTCGCGGAATCCTTCGAAGTGAAAACGGGAGTAAGACAAGGCTGGCTGGTTGCCTACTATCTCCAATGATTTTCTTGATTGCGGTAGACTGGATAATGCAACAGACACAGAGCAACGGGGATTGAGGCATAAGAGGCACACAAAACACCTGTGGGATCTGGACTTCGCCGATGATATATGTCTGGTTTCCCATAAACTGGAAGATATGCAAGCGAAAAGCAACAAGTTGGCAGGGGAAGCATCCAGAGACGATATGACTTCAGGTGAACGTAGAGAAGACAGAGATAGGTGATGAAGGTTCCTGGCCAACAGCAACAGCAACAACAACAGACAACAATCAGCATAAACGGGAGAAATCTGGAAGAAGCAACCTCCTTTACCTACCTACCTACCTGGGAGGCATCGTTTCAACTATAAGCAGACAAAACTGACGAGGATATCAAAGCAGTGAGGATCGGGAAAGTAAAGCAAACTTTCATTTCTCTCAAGTCTGTGTGGAGATCAACACTCATCAATCAGCATGAAAAGTAAGATTCGGATTTTCGACTCCAATGTGAAGTCAGTGCTAGTTGCTATACGGATCAGAGACTTGGAACCGCGTCACAAAGAGCACTTCGAACAAACTGCAGATCTTCATCAGCAGCTATCCTCGCTCAATACTCCTCGAGATCAGGTGGACAGCCTAGAAAGATCAGCAACAGGGCTCTCTGGGAGTGAACCAACCCAAGCGGAACCAACTGTGCAACAAATATGCAGGAAGAAACAGAGGTGGATTGTATTGGCCAAACTCTGAGGAAACAAACCATCAAGTGATCGACATCACATGCCAGGCCATTGCTGGAGTGGAACCCAAACGGGAAGTGGCGAGTCAGTTGGTCGTTAGTGAGAGGGTGATGTGGAGGAGGTCATGCGACGAGGAGATGAAAGCATGTGGGCAGACGAAGAGCCAGGTTATAAAAACGGTGTCGGAGAACCGAACGTAATGCAGACATGTGACTGAAGCCTTGTGATTCTCTCGGAACTAAAGAGAACAACAATTATGGAATGTCGAGTCTTGTTCTTGATGTTTGACGTTTCGCTAACACATTTTCTCTAAGACAGAGTGAGGTTCCTTATCTTATACCCTACCTTCCACACTCACCTGGTTTACTGCTGGCTAAGCGAAGTTCAGGAGTCTGTCAGTTACCGGGGTTCGAACCCCGCATCTCAAATGATGCCATGGTTAGTGAGTTTGTTCTACCACTGAACCATCGATGCAAAATGAATTTTATTCTCTATTTTTGTTGTTGTTGTTGGTGTCAGTATGCTTTGTGTAATCTTGTCTGTGGGAGTCTTTAGCTAGTCAACAGTAGTCATTACTACTATTGCTGGATCTAACAGGTTTCTGTGAACTGACTGGCTTACTGCTTTCAGCAGTGCACCAGTTCGAGCTAGAACACTCCTTCTAGCACAAAAAAAGAAGAAGAAACAAATTGATTCGAAAGAACGATAATATCCACAGAAATACGGGGTAAAAAGATTAGCAACATGGAAAAACGATACGGTTTAATGCATATGAGAGACCTCAAATTAGTGGATGCCTCTGTGCCAGCCATTGAGAACGAGGATTTTGAGACATATCATCACCAATTGGTTCCAGCTTTCATTGATTCTTATAATCCTATCGATTCCCTTGTCAGGAAGTCTACAGCTCCCTATGTGATTGTATCTGTCCTGAGCTTTTTGTCAGCAATCAGCCTGTCGGGGCTAATGGAACCTTCCCAAATAAATGAAGTGTTCAACACTCTATCACTTTACTCCGTATCTTTGAGCTTGAAGTTTATGTTGTTTGCATCTTACATTTGACAGATGCAAATCGGATCCCACGTACTCGTACTGTTCGGAAGACTCTGCATTTTATCAACTACACTTCACCTAGGAGGACTACTAAATATCATCCGCATATTCCTTAGTGGTAACAATGCAATCCCTAGTTCTCTGAAATCAGTTCTCACACTCCCTAGACACTGCTTGTGGAGATTATAAGTGGTATAAGAGTTGATTGTTTACACACAAATTTTATCAAAATGTTATCATTACTACTACTACTACTAGTACTGTGGTGAGTGCTACTGATAAGACTTATCAGTAGTATATGAAGAGACATTCATCGGCGAACCCTGTTGTGCTGAGGATGCTGTTGAAAGGTCGGGCAAAGGTGGCATACAACAGTGTGGAGCGGTCAGGTGATTGAAAGAGACCTGGAAGGTATTGGTTGAACGATTGGTGGTGGATTTCGACAGTCCGATACACAACCAGCTGGCGATGCAGCAGTTCTGTGTCGCAAAGCTGGGACTTGACGGAGATGTGTTGGCGGTAAAGTTGACAAGTCGCTGATAAATCATATCAGTAGTACGTACCATACTACTCCCTCTCCTAATACTCATATGTATATATTCAATCTCCTCTTCTTCAGTGTTGCTTATGTCTCTCGATCCGGTGGGATGTCCAACGAACTCAATAATATCATCTCAATCAATTCAGATGGTGTCTACGAAGGTGTAGCTATCGGTGGTGATCGTTTCCCTGGTTCAACATTTCTTGATCATATTCTACGTTATGAAAGTAATCCTGAAGTTGGTATGATTGTTGTATTGGGTGAAGTAAGTAGTGTACAAGGGAGGAGAAACTGATCGAATTATTGATCTCTGTGCCTATTTTTGCCTCTTTGCATTTGTTAAAATTTGTTTTGTTTTCTCAACAAGAGAAATGAGAATATTTTTACTTTGTTTAACAAAAAACTGATTGCCGGATTAGTTCGTCAACTTGAGTTACTACTACCGTAACAACAGAAGACAAGGGCCAGGCAACAGATCGTTTATTAAGGAAATCAACACATATTTATAGATTTTAATGCACATTATCATAGATTATTGTTAGCAGACAAACACTGTCTTCTGATTGGTGGTGGTTTCCCGCTGAACGTTAATCCTTCATCTCTTTGTGGCTGTTTCTTGAATGTCAGATCATCTATCTGCTAATTGTATCCGCGTACGCAAATTGTGCTGTGAGTGGTTGTTGAGTCAGTCTTTGTTCTTGTTTTCACATGACCAATATTTGGGACATAAACGTTGACGTAAATTACTGTCTACCAATTTGGCTAGCAGACAGCTCTCATCACACTCGTCGCCCCGCCAAAGACTTGCGACTGAAGTTGGTTTGGTCTTCTTGGTTCTAGGGGTTCTGTTCCTCTGTCTAGCTGTCTGGAATCTCGGCGCTCGGTGATGTTCACCTATTTCTCTTTGTTTGCCATTGCGATTGTGTCTGCGTAATCCCATCTCAAAGTGACCATATGTGATCTTCCCCACTTCGGAAACAGTTTGCCTGATCCTGTCCTAAATTCGTCGATATTTCACCCCACAATTTCATATACTGCTTTCGCCCACTTTTCTGGCTTTATACTGAGGATCAAATGGCCGTCCGGTGGGCCAGAATAGAATTAGAAACAAGAAACTCTAGGAATATACCGATCAAGAACCTGTTGCTCAATCTGGGGTGGGGGAGGATTGGAATGTGCTGAAGAAAATGGAGATGGATTGGACATACACGCTGAGGAGACCGTTGGATGATAATATCTCAAACCAAGCTATCTCTCGAATGGAACCTAAATGAGGAGCGACGTGTTGAGTGTAGGTTTGTCTGTGACATGCAGGAGAGCGTGTGAGAAAGAGATGAGAGGCTATGCGCAATCGGATAGTTAGCTGAAGAAGTGTATAGAGTAGAGAACAGTGAAGAGATATGCCGCTGAGGCCCCACGCTCCAATCGGGATTCAAGTGTATTTGGGACACTAACCAGGTAGTGTACACCTTCCTATTTGGCACAAACCAACTGTCAAACACTTTATGGATTATTGCCAGGTTTTTTGATTTGACCAAGTCTACTCTAACACTTTCTCCAACGTATAATCCCTGTGTCACCTAACATTGCTCGTTGAGGAAGGCAGGCTATAACTCTTGGCATGCACTACAATACGTGTCACATCTGCATGTTAAAGCGTCAAATATAGACTTTTGCAATTACACGTCCACAGGAGGATGACTCCTCATCCATCTAATCCTTTGCTGAACTCCATAGTTCTCATGCGTATGGTATCCTTTTAATAAATGGTCTCCAAAAGTCATACGAATGCAAGGAAGCTGTTGAGTTCATTTTGAGGCAATCTCACAGAGATTTGGTTTATCAAATCACTATTCATATAATGAGTAAAGCTTGAAGGTGAAACAAGAACTTTTGGTCATGACAGGATTCGAACTAGCGATGTCCAAATAAAAGTAGTCCGGCATCCTATTGGATACGCTACGAGCCCTCACGTCAGTCGCTCGGTCGAGCCCTCACGCACACAGTTAAATTATCAATATATATATCCGTTGGAGGCACAGCGGTAGAATGCTCGCCAACATGATTCGCCTTTCTTGAATCCGGCTTCTTCTGGTCAAAGTTCTTTATCCAGTGCGTCCTTTATTCGCTTCAGGATGATGCGACTCAGGATTTTACTTGGCGTCGATAGGAGCATGATTCCTCGCCAGTTCTTGCAGAGTCCTAAGTCGCCCTTCTTTGGTGAAATCCATGTCGCTGTGTTTGAACACACTGACACCAATCACCAAATTATTGAAGGCGCAGAAGTCTGAGAAGAGTTCACCGTTGTCGTTCATTTCACCGAAGGCCTCGCGACCCATGGTGAGTTCTCTTCCTGTATTGTCTCCTCCCATCTTCGCATTCATATCACCCATCAGGATTTTGATATTGCCATTTGGGACGTTATCCATTACTGTTTGTAGTTGACTGTAGAAATCCTCCTTCTTCTCTTGTTCTGAGACGTTTGTAGGCGCATAGCATTGAATGATTGTAACCTTTTTTCCTTTTGAGTTGAACCTGGCTGTCATTATCCTTTGAGGAGATTGGTTCCCACTGCATGAGAGCTTTGGCTGCTGTTGGTGATATCATGATGGCCACTCCCTCGGTGTGCTCGTAATTGTCCTCTGGGTGACCGGAGTAGATTATTGTCTCTCCAGTTTGCAGTTGGCTCCTTCCACATCCATTCCATGTGCTCTCACAGATTCCCAATGCTTCTATTTTATATCTTCTCATTTCTGCGGCTACCTGAGCAGCCTATCCAGTTTCGTACACTGTACGAATATTCCATGTTCCCATCCTTATTTTTGCTTTCATCGAAAGAAGGCACATCGGCTGACTGGCTTCCCGAAGGCCTTCACCAGCCTGCGTTATTTCACTCCCCCGATTCCAGCGAAAAATAAGGTTATTGTTTGTATTTTTTAGAATTTTTAATATACATTTGTGAGTTGAAGTTTTTGTAGCAGTTTGGTTAAGTTTGGGTATGGAGTTGCTAGCACCACGCCCCAACCCTCCCTCTTTATCCGGACTTGGAACCGTCTAGAAAACTAGTGAGCTAGTAATCTAGGCGAGGTTAAGCTACAAATATCAACTTTCGCAATCACACAACCACTGGAGTACGACTCCTTATCCATGCAACAATGGATTACCCATACTTTATTAGTGTGATATAGTAATTAAAGTCGGTCTGGAAATGAACCAATCAGAATATGGCCCACGTAAAATAACGCCCACTGTTTTTGTTTTTATTGATCATGATTATTGACTAATTGATATTTATATATTCTTCCTTGGTGATATTTTAAATCATACATTATTCCTGTGTGAAATATACTGCTGTGACTGATACTAGAAAAAATAGACTTAGCAGTTCGCCATATCCTCCTTTATGGCTGTGGGACGTGGCCATTGAAAGTGTGGAAGACATGAGAAGGCCGGCTGGCTGTCTTTGATCATAGGTGTCTGTGTTCCATCTCCCGTGCGTGTAAGGTGGTATAACAGGGTGAGCAATATTGAAGTTAGGCGTTTGATGTTCAGCAAGGAGGGATAATCTATCAATGAGTTTTTGAAGCTACATCGACTGAGATGGTTGGGACATGTGTTACACATGCTAAGCCGTCGCGTTCCTTGACGATGGGCAATGTTAGCTGAAATAGGGTCAGGTTGGAAAAGAGCCACTGGTTGTCAAACCAAAACCTGGCTTCATCAATCAGTGAAATCCATAAAAGTTAGTTTTGACCAGCCAGCCACGTAGGAAGATGTAGACTTTCCGGTTGGGATCATTGGGATGGATCCGGACGTCAATGAAGGCTGGAAACAATTCATAATGATACGGTTCGATATCGTCCTCAGAGGCTGGGGCAGATTCATTCACTCTTTGTGGTTTGTCAGTGATAACCAATAAAACTCTATTGTTCATCCCTCAGACTTCTGTTTATTATCTCTTTACACCCTTCTCTTGCTTTTTGTGCTACATGGAGGGAGAATGGCAGCTTCAACTGCTGCATATCTGTGCAAAGTCTGTCTGTCTCTGTCTGTCTGGATTCAACATAGATCTTCGCAACCAAGTGCAGCAGTTCCAGTTGCCACGTTCCAAATAGCACACAAAGGTGGTAGACAAGAAGATGAGTGAAGAGAATCAATAATAGAGTTTTGACAAGTATAAGAGTGAAACAGAATGAGCAATGGTAGAAAGGAATATCAATAAAGATTACGGAGACTGAATACATCTGCGTAAGCTATTGACAACGAGTTTGAGCCATGTCACCTATTGTCTCCAGCCATTGATTCTTAGAGTCCCGAGGGCGGGCCCCAACCCGGAAGTCTGCATCTCCCTACCTACCTGACTCAGTTTAACTGTCAAGGATTTCATGGATTGATTGGTGCCATGTTTTTGTTTGGCCACCACTTACTCTTTTCCAACCTCCACCTACCTATATCAGCTAGCAATGCCCGTCAGAGAGGGGAGGCGATGGTTAGGCATGCGCAGCACGTGGCTTAGCCATCTCAATCTGTGTAACTTTATAGCCTCTTCAAGTGATTTTACCTCTTTGTCCAACACACGTCAACATTGCTTACCTTATTATGCCACCTAACGTGAGAAAGAGATCGTAGGCATCTATGATCAAAAACAGTCAACCTTTTCATGTCTTCAACTCGTATTGGCCATGTTTCAGAGCCATAGAGAAGGACGGAGCGAACTGATGAGCAGTAAACACGTCCCTTGGTTGATAGCCGGATGTCACGCCTACGCCAGAGATGGTGTAAGTTAGCAAAAGCAGCTCAAGCTTTTTGGATCCGTGCTGAGATTTCGTCACCAATCAGTCCGTTGGTGCTGATACAACTTCCTAAATAGGTGAAGTGGTCAACATGTTTTATCAATCTGTGCAAAGTTCTGTGTTGAAACCATTCAGTGAGTCAAAACAGGCTTTTGGGCTCATATCGTTGTTTGTTCGCGCTTGAGTAGAGTAGGTTGGTTGGAGAGGGGTTGAGGATAGACAGCTGTTATATAGTGTTGTTGGCGTAGTCGGACCATATTCGTGATCAGCACGTTTGTATCCAACAGTTCAGGTTCTCTTAGTACAACGTCCTCAGCACCATGACAATCTTTATTGACGTATTTATGAATGAATGTTGTGTAATATGTACCTAAAAACCAAACCAAGTTCACTTTTAACGGTTTGAAAAAATTTGGACATTGGGTATATGATATTCATTATAATAAAGGTTTCTTTCATATTTCCCAATGAATGAAAAACAAAACGATATTGTTACTCTTACTGACGTTTCGCTATTAACTGCTAAGAGCTTTATCAAAGTATTATTGAACCGGAATTTACAAAATCTCAGCATATATATAACAAACAGTTAAGAGGTGAGAAAATAGACTAATTAGGTCAAGTTAAAAGGAGGACATATTGAAAGTCAAAATAACAATGAAGATCACTGGACCAAATAACAGAGGTAATAGTACATCTGCTATGATATCAAAATAAGGTTTACTAACTTGATCATCGTTCGTCAGTATGGGGTAATTTTTCGTTCTCGAGTTGGCCAATTGGTAAAGATAACAAAATCAAAACCAAGTGTAGATTGTTGGATTTGATCAGTGTGTAAAATTATGAAACAGCGTGTGTTTATATAGTGATATTGCTTATCACATTCGTGGTGATTTTGTCACTTCATGTGGTAGGGGAGGGAGGTGTTGTATCCAGGTCAGATTCTGTTTAAGTCCATCATTCCTATTCAGACAATTTGGATTCCACTTGATATGAAGTGCCCCTGATGATATTAAACGTTCTTTGTGATTTCTGAAGTTTTCCTGGATTATTTCAATATTGTCAAAATCAATTTTGTGGCTTGATTCTATAGCGTAGCGTGTAGACGACCTATGGCTGATGCTTTTTCAAGCTTTTCTAGTTCAACCGGATTTCTCGGTGGTCAAACAGCTGCTCCACGGTGTTCATTTCTTCTGATTTTCATTTCTCGAGATGTTTGTTCGTTGGTTTTACTTTTATTTTTTAATATTTCCCATATTTCTCTGGCCTATTTCAGGTTGGTGGTGTTGAAGAATACGCCTTAATCGATGCTGTGAAATCGGGTAAAGTGAAAAAGCCAATTGTAGCCTGGTGTATTGGTTCTTGTGGAGAATTATTAGCCGCTGTAGATGATACAGGCAGTGGATCAATTCAATTCGGTCATGCTGGTGCATGTGCTAATTCATTGAAAGAAACAGCTACAGCTAAGAATCAGGCGTTGGCTGATGTTGGGATACATGTACCCTCATCATTTGATGAATTGGATCTGTTGATTAGGTAAGTGAATTTTGAAGTGGATATTTTTTACTTCATTTTGTTGCATGGCTGGCTGGTCGTTTCTCTCTGGTCTCTCCACTCTTATTCTTTGTGTGTGTGTGTGTGTGTGGTGTTTTAGCTACTGACAATATTTTGAATGAGTTGTGTTCTCTGAGCTGACTGGTTGATTTAAACTGCGAAGCTTTCGTTATCCTTTCAGACAAAGTCCCATTTCAGTGCAGGTTTTAGTATAAAATGAACTCATTTGATGAATTCTCCATGAATGCTGATATAATTATGTCTCCTGGCAGCAACCATCTTTGTGACTGGTAGTTGATAGACGTCTCTATTGATCGTATTTTTATTGACTTGGAGTTCAAACTTACAGCCGTCTTACACAACAACATCGTCTCATCATTAGATAAAGGTGCCAAATACGTCCGCCGCACATTTCTCGACTTCACTTTTGCTTTCGAATCTGTACCTAGATGTCTCTTGCTAAATAAGCTCTCTATGATAAAAACTGAGTCCTGGGTCACTAACTGGTTGCATTCTTACTTCTCTAAAGGAATCCAGTACACCGTATACAAAGGTAAATCCTCCTCTGTTGCGCTCACTGAAGCTGGTGTCCCCCAAGGTGCTGTACCCTCCCCAATTCTCTTTCCTTTCTTCCTACATGACTTACCATCTTCAAATGACATTAATTTTGTCAAATATGCTGACGACCTGGCTGTATCTTTGCCTGTCAAATGTCAAAGCGACTGCTCTAAACTTAATGGCCTTCTGTCAGAAATCAGCCAGTGGTCCAAGGAAAACGGTCTTACCCTTAACCCCTCCAAATGCCAAACAGTCAATTTCACCTTTAGGCATAAATCTGACCTAAACAAACTGGTTGGCTCTCACGAGGTGTGCAACACAGATGGCACTGAAATAGAAACCAAATCGGAAATTAATTACCTAGGTATCATTCTATCTGTTGATCTTTCCTGGTCGCCTCATATCTTGGCGATTTCTAAGAAAATATCCCGTCTTACCTTCTACATCAAGAAATTAAAACATTCTGGTATAACCCAACACTTACTCCTACAATTCGTTAACTCTCGCATTCTGCCTATTATTCTCTATTGTTCCCCCTTAATTTTTCCCGGACTACTGAACTCATGTGAAAAATGGGCTAAATCCATTCTATCTAGCTCACACCACCCTCTTCATTCACAACTCTCCCCTTGTATCTCATCAGGCTAAACCAGAAGCTTCTATAGAAAACTATATGCTCGCACTAGCAAGTACAAAAACTCAACCATACCCCACTTAGCTCGTGTTCTGTGCGATAAAGAAAGCATTAGGCGTGACACCTATAACTTATCAAATAGTCAGTAGAACAACTGGACCTCGTCTCTCCAACTCATATCATTTATAGGTAAACATTTTCTTTCTTTCTTTTCCTTTTCTCTCTCTCTTTTTCTCTTTTTTTCCGTTATGTGCTGCTTTGTTTCTTTCTTCCGCTTACGCCAGTAGTTATGATAGCACTTACCTTTCTAACATTTGTGGCTGTGTCAAATCATCCATATGCTAACTGTGTCCGCCTACGCAAAGCCTTTGTTCTGATTTTCTCAATACGAATATTGGGGATATAAACATTGACGTCAATTACTCTCTGCCTACTTTGGCTAGCAGCCAGCTCTCATCCCACACTTTTATCTTGTATCTTGCATATAAGAATAAAATCAATTCTGAGGTCCTTCTCAAAACCGTTTAATATTACTAAACCAAAAAATTTAGTTCTTATATGAGCACAGAAAATGACAATACCTTGTAATTTGTTAATGTCGTGACTTGATCAAGAAGGGAAGATAGCAGTATTAAGCGGCGGCGAGGGCGAGGGAGGGGTTCCGGAAAAAGTCATCACTTGGTCAATACACGCAATTCGAGTTGTTTTTCTGCCGTTTAGCATACAAATGAAATCTTATGAGTACTGCACAACCGATGACAATACATATATAGAAATGCCTGCAAACGATACAGAGAGAAAACTTATGTATGTATGTGTCTTTATCGTTCAAAGGGGACACAGACACTGAATGACTGACTGGCATTGAAACTCAATGGAGTGCCACAATTATGCATCTCATCCAACAGTTGTATGACAATGCTGCATGCCAAGTAATCCACAACGGGAAACGTACGGAATCCTTCAAAGTGAGGACAGGAGTAAGACACGCTGGCTGCCTACTATCGCCAATGATTTTCCTGATTGCAGTAAATTGGATAATGCGACAAACAGAGAGCGGGGGCAATGAGGAAACAGGCATAAAATGGACTCACACAAAAAACTTGGAGGGTCTGGACTTTGTCGATGATGTATGTCTGATTTCCCACAAACTGGAAGATATGCAAGCGGAAAGCAACAAGTGGGTGGAAGAAGCATCCGGAGAAGATAGGACTTCAGGTGAACATAGAGAAAACAAAGATAATGAAGATTCCTGGACAAGAACAACAACAACAGACAACGATCAGCATAAATGGAAGGAATCCGAAAGAAACAACCTCTTTTACCTACCTGGGAAGCATCGTTTCAGCTACAGGTGGAACTGACGAGGATATCAAAGCAAGGATCGGGAAAGCAAGGCAAGCTTTCACTGCTCTCAGGTCTGTGTGTTGGTCAAAAGCACTCAGCATCAAAAATAAGATCCGGATTTTCAACTCCAATGTGAAGTCAGTGCTACTTACTATACGGATCAGAGACTTGTACTACGCGTCATAAAGAGCATCTCAAAACAAACTACAGACCTTCAACAACAGTTATCCTCGCTCAGTACTCAAGATTAGATGATCGGCAGAAAAGATCAGCAACAGGGATCTCTGGGAGCGGACCAACCAGGAACCGATTGTAAAACGAATAGGCAGGAAGAAATGGATATGGATTGGCTATACTCTGGGAAAACCATCAAGTGACATCACTAGACAAACCATTGCTCTAGTGGAACCCGTAATGGAAGCGGTGAGTTGGTCGTCAGTTTGAGGGTGACTTGGAGGAGGTTATGTGAAGAGGAGATGAAAACGTGTGGGCAGACATGGAGCCAGGTGAAGACTCTAGCAGAGAACCGAACGCAATGGAGACGCACGGCTGAAGCCCTATGTTCCTGTAGGAATTAAAGGAAACAATAATATAATAATAATTGAAACTCTGAAGATGCAATAGGTGAAGCATTCTTAGGTACAACACCATGTTCAGATGAAGAATAAGCTAGTGAGTCTGGCTGATGCAATATGGAGTTACAAATTTTGTTACAGGATTTCATCATGAGCTGACATTGGTTAGAGAACCATTGAAAAAGCAGCTGGGAGTACTGGACAGCTGTTTCGTCAGTCTAGTTTGGGACTCTGCATCAGTACGCACCCACCGGGGTTTGAACCCTCTGGTTACAAGGCCAGCGAGCTCATAGACCATTAAGCCACTGGGATCCGCTCCAATCGCCCATGAACTCTTATTTCTGCCAATTCGCGATATAGCGCACCCGCTAGCCAATGTCTTCCGTGGCGAGTGTTTGTCCTTACATCCGAACTGCTGCACCCTGCTGGTCACGACTTCCCACTCGAACCCTAGGTAACTACTACATACGTGAATAGGGCAAGTCACCAGTGAGCATCTCATTGATATTCAAGTATTGGTTTGTAGGGATTTAGTTGATTGGACGAAACAGCTAACGAGTACTCCCTGCAGGTTTTCCAATGGTTCTACAACCATTATCAACTAATGATGAAATCCTGTAACCAATGAATCAAATCTCTACAAACCAATACTTGGATTTGCAAATTTAAGTAATCTTGTCGAGAGAGAGCCAGTTACATAGACAGAACACGACTCGGGAGAGCTTAATGTCACCTTCTTAAGCATTGTATTGTAATGGGATTAGGTGGGGGGGAGCAGTTGTAAAGTTACTCGAGGTGTTGTTCTATATTAGCACACTGTGTCAAATTGATAAAAATTCTGCCTTTCCAATTCTATACAAGGTGTATCATCCATTCCATTCAGTCCCCCCACTCCCTCCTTATGGCTTTCAAACTCAACCTAGAATAACTATCTCTTCTAGTACTGTTAACTTTATTATGAATATCATAGTGTGCCATAGTTGTATCTCTCTCCTAATGTAAGATGATGCTACAAGACTGGACTGGACTGGACTACATTGACTCCTAGCTTAGGTATAGGGAGCGAAGTATTAGAGCGTGTTGATCACTTCACTTATTCGGAAAGTTGCATCAGCCAGCGCTAACGAATTGATCGGTGACGAAATCTCAGCACGGATACAGAAGGCTCGTTTCATATATGCCAATTTACGCCACCTCTTGCGTGGACGTGATATCCGGCTGGCTATTGGTCAAAGAGCGTGTGTAATGCTCAGTGGTTCGCTCTGTCCTCCTTTGTGGCTGTGAGACCTGATCACTGAGAGTGGAGGACATGAAAAGATTAGCTGTCTTTGATCACAGGTGTCTACGTTCTATCTTCCGTGTGAAGTGGCATAATAGGGTGAGCAATATTACGATGAGGAATCGGTCAATTGCTGGGTAAGGAGGGGAAATCAATAGACATGGTTGTGAAGCGTCATCGGCTGAGATAGTTAGGACATGTGTTACGTATGCCTAGTCATCCATCAACTTCCTCGACGGGCAGTGTTAACTGAAATAGGGTCAGACTGGAAAAGAGTCAGTGGTGGTCAAACCGAAACACGGCTTCATCAGTCAATGAAATCTACTACATCTAGTTTGAGCTAGCAACGTAGGAAGGTGTGGACTTCCTGACTGGTTGAGGTCCTCAGGATGATAAAAACCAATGAAGGCTGGAGACAATTGGTGATATGGCTCAAAATCGTTCTCAATGACTGGCGCAGATGCATCCACTCCTTGTGTCTTATACCCAATGAAACTGTATTGTCCTTCGTACATCGTGGTGGGTTATCAGCGGTTCTCTTATTGATATGTATCCATGATTGAACATGTACTGTGGTGAGAGCTGGCTG